CAGTAACTGCTCTTCCATCATTTGTTTCTTCCACAAAGGAAATTGTTAGAGAACTTCCTACCTTTTAATACCCTGGAGGCTTTTTTCACTCATTTCTCAGATTTAGGCTTTTGTAAAGTTTTATAAAAAGTCTTTGACAGACAACAAAACACATGCAGTTTGCTGGCACTCTTTTCAGTTTCAAAACCACATAATAAATTTTTCCACACGTTGATAAACTACATTTTAAAAGTGTGTTTTCTGGATATCTAGATAATCAACAACACAATGAATATAAACATTTTCTATAAATAGTTCACCATATGGCTATCATTCTCAACAGATGGTGTCTGTGTATTCACTAGAATATACAAGAGCTATGCAAATTTTGCCCTGCAATCATTCAAAATTCTAAAGACTTTCTTACTTCAGTTTTATCAAGCTTAATCAAAGTCAAAACACATAATTTTATCACCTAGCTCTAATATGGGGAACAAATGCCACAACTTATTAACAAATGAATTTACAAAAGGCAGTAGAGTTTAAAGGATTTTAATAAAGAGACACTAAGTACAAGATTTTCTCAGTCCTAGGATAGCACTCTGCTGATAATGATAGTTTTTATCTACCGAAAAAGCAGACCCACTTGTAAACACCCCAGTAGCTCATCAGAAAGAATGCAGTCTGGACAATGTTATGAAAAAAATCTATAGTACAAGGAATCTGAGAGTTTATATATATTTTGCAGCGAATGTCCTCATATGCATTATAAGGGCATCAATTATAGTAACACCAAGTAGGTGACAATTACTGCAGTATCAAAGGCACCCTAGCTTTTCACTAACCATCATTAATAGTGGATTTGTAGTTGTAGCAAGAAAGTCTACTAGAAAGCCTACAGATTTTAGCCAATTTTAGTAAAAAAAAAAGGTACTCATTTTTTACAGTTTCCTTAAAGCAGATATATAAGCATCTCCATGCTTTCTACTTTCAGAAGGTGGTGGGCAATTTAGAATATCTATCAAGACAAAACATGACCAAAAGTTGCCTAGATACTTGGTCTATCCTGTCCCAACTTAAAACTGTTTAGAGCTCATATCACTGTATAAACACTTTCTGGAAAGTTCTTCTTGAGCTACACTGTTCCTTATCTGTTGGAAATCATATTCTAGTTTTCAGTATGGGCATTTTTATAACATTTCTCTTCCACTTGAACAAACACTAGTTTTAATTTCTATAGTTTTTCTAACTTGTTGCTGTTTCTCACCTGACACACTTACAGTAAAAATAACCCATTCCCCTCTCAGTTATTAAGTTGTTAAGCCTTCTCTTCTGAAGGTCCTGACAGTTGTTGGCTTTGCCAGTCATGAGCACTTCTCTGTCGGTTCCTATAGCTCCCAGGGTGCTCCTGCAGCAGGATCTACATCATTACAACTAAATCACTACTTGTCCCTGCACAGACACCAGTGCTTTGTGAAACTTCCCTAAGTGCAGAGGAGGGAGTCCCAGTCATTCCTCCTCAGAACTGCAAGTTACTACAATACTGGATAATGGCTTTACAGGTTTCAAAAAATGCTTTTTTTTTCTCCTCTTTCTAGTGATAGGAATAGCTTTACATTATCATGTATTCAGTGCACCTGAAAGTCCAGTACAACTGCAGAAGGCAGGTCACATCTCAAAGCCCAGCAAAATAATATCTTCTAACCATGTGCAAGTTGGCAAGATATTCCTCTGAAAATAAATGGTCACGAATTTAACTTATATATAAAGGAGAGTACATAAACAAGAAGGATAATGCATGGTACTGTGCTCTGGAATTGTGCCTCAGTGTTGATAACACAACAACTATTTTCCTACTGCTAAGTACTTCCTGCAGATTTTCAACACGCTGATTTGGCCAGACAGTAAGAATTGTAACTTCATGAGCAGGAAACTAATTAGAAGTTATGGGTAATTAAATAACAATTGCTCTTCTTTAATACATGTATTAGAGGTAAGGAATCCCCATTTGTTACTGGAGTGGCTAAGGATGAATAAGTGAGTCCAAGACTTGAAAAAGCAGCATGCATCTGTTAAGTATGAAGGATATTTTTTAAAACTTGTGTAAATCAAGTTCATAATTCAATTAGTTGAATGTTTATGGTCTTATTACTAAAAGATACTGTTTCAAGTATAATTGAGAAATACCTTTTAACTTTTATTCTTGCTGCTTGAAAATATATCTATGTAATACATACACATACATATTATTTATTTTTGAGTAAATTAAAATCAGATGAGTTGAAGTTTGTTAAATTGAATGGGCTTAGTTCCTGCTAAATTGATGTTTTGTCAAATGCTTTATATTGATTCAAATTTGCTTAAAACTTTTTCTCAAGTATGCCATGTAAGTTTGTTAACTTAAGTTTTAAGTTTTGACTCTTGAGGAATAACTTGTCAGTATTCTTCCCTTGCATCTAACTCAGGGTACACCCCTGTAAGCCCTTCTGATGGACTCAGTGAGAAAATTCTGGGGCCTAACAACCACCACATCTTTAATTTTAAAAATTTCCTGGACACTTTTACTTTGAGGATCATAGGAATGCATGGATTAGATTCCCATCATTGTGTGAAGCCAGCAATGAGTAGTAGACAACAATTCATTCCCTTTTTAACCAGTCCTAGAAGTCTTTTACTTTCCCCTAACCACCAACCAATTAATTTGCCTAATACTTGCTGGCTCTGGGACAATGCTCTCATAACACCCTCTCACCTAACTCTGTCATTAACTAGGTTAGGGAAGCATTTGCCTTGTAAATTAGTCCCCTAAGCATTTTCACTTTTTTTTTCCTCAAAAGAAAGATCATGCTTTTTTACCTTCATATGCAACTGACAGTATTTTTTGTTAAAATACGAAAAGAAGGAGATAAATATCATTCCAGCATCACTGTGAACTGGTAAAAATATTTTTGCCTGCACAGATGTAACTATTCAAGGAAAGCTTTAGCATGTGTCAAAGAAAGGAGTAATTAAAATATTACAGTGCCCCACTTTATGGCTCTGGCACAGTTCAAGTACTGCCTGTGGTTTTGTTTAACTCATTTCAGGAGGGAAACAGTAGAAACAGGAAGTCCGCCATAAATCGGAGGTCAAAATAATCACATGTTCATTCAAATTGAACATTAAGTCATTGAGCACAAGTAAGGCTGAAATTTATCCAGCTCTAGGAAGGACCATGAAGAATCACCTAAAGATAGAGCTCACCTGAGTCTTAGTCAGACTTACTCAGCATAGCTTGCTTGAGTAGCTGCAAGAACAGCTAGAACTGTCCTAGTCAGCTGGAAAGTATGAGCATACACATATTAGCTATGATAAAAATAAAGTCACATAAAGAGAAGTTGTGATGATAATGCTGGTTGCTATGGCAGATCCTGGATCAACTATTATACTTTATGATCACAGTGGATCTAAATGATTTGTTGGTTTGTAGAGAGGTAGAAATAATAGATCCATGCTCTAATTATTAATTACTTGTATAATGTCACTTCTAGATGAGAATTTCCTTACCATGTAGAAGGGCAATGAATGAAGACATTTTCAAATTAGGAAAGATGACAACAATTAGGGAATTTATTAAATTAAAGAAAATAGATGATATGACAAGGGTGTGAAATACAGAAAAGGACAGAGGAGGCATACACATGATTTCTTCCGAATGTCTGAAGAGAGATCAAAAGAAAAATAAAATTTCATTTTAAGGGAACAGTGGATATGATATGTCCACACAAAATATTTCTTCTGCAAATCACAGCAGTCCTCTGCTCCCTTGATGACAATAAGATACAGCAAAGTTCAAGAACCAGTTTTAGTCTAAGAGTTTCTATGACAGTCTCTTTTAAAAGGACAGTCTACATAATTTTTAATGAAGGACATGAGATAGCAATCAACAGGAGAACCATCAAAGTAAAAAAAAAATAGTACTGTATTGTCTCTGACATTTAACACAAAAAGTCTGTGAAGTTTCACATTCTGTCTGGTAACAGGTAACAACATCAAGAAGAGAACAGAAAAACAAGTTTTAGCTGGCATGATTTTCTGTGCAATTAAACTTTCGGAGAGGAACAATTTGGGTAGAGAAAGAAGTAATCTTATTCAAGTTAAGGCAGAAAACTCAAAAAAGACTGTACAAGTATTTTATAAATGAAAGGAAGGAATAATTAAATGTTTAATAATAACTGCTAGTGCTAAATGAAGAAAATGGGACCAAAAAAACCCCAAAACCGTTATGACATGCAAATTCACACACTTTTGAAATTGCCACTCTAGTTTCTAGATAGAGGAACAGTCCCATTCAAAAGATGATTGATAAGATCTTAATAGGTATCATCAGGAGCATTCAGAATTAAGGGAATGTCTTAGTATAGTCTATAACATGTAAATTTTCCAGTTTTCACAGATGGGAAATATTAATGAAAAAGAAACAAACAAAAAACAACCCCCTCCCCCAAAAAAATTTCCACCTAAATTTTTCTGTATTTAAGAAATCGCTGCTTCTGAATTAAACAGTTAAATTTTACAAGTGAAAAGGCAATAAAATATGAGAATAAGTATCATTAATTAAAAGCTATTAAGGAAACATTTTCTATTTTTAGCTACATTTGTCACATCCCCAATTGAATTTAAGATATTTTGCAACTTGAATAAACATAGACTAAATTCTGTGCTGAAATTTTGCAGTAGATGTTTGCAAAAGTTACTAATTTTTTTTCAAAGCATTATTTAAGTGCAATATCAACATATATTCATATACTTCTGTCTCAGACAGAAAGAACAAATTATACACCTCAAAACAGGAATTGAAAGCCATCTGAGAATGGAACAAATACTACAGAAAAAATGTTGCTCCATTTTAAAACTGCATATTTAAAAGGAAATGCAGAATTCATTTTATTTATACATTTCACCAGTAAAATCTTTGTGTATCCACTATTACAAAGTCAAAAATACAAATGGAAAATGATCATTTGCCAAAGTCCTGTTACCTGTGTGTCAGCAGCACCCTGAAGGCCATCTGATTCAGTCCCAAATAACCTGGCAGCAATCTTGACCAATCCCAGTTCCATTCAGTAATGGCTGACTGTTGATACATGGCAAGAAGCTAGTTAGTTATTAATCAGCATTAATATGATCAGTACATTAAAGCTCCAGCTGCGATATACTAACCAAGGAGAGGGGTCTAGAATGAGGACTTAGAAAGATTATATCAATCATGTCCACAGAAGAAGGCATTTATTCCAATAAAACAGCAATTAATTAATTAGGGACATAGCCACTATTTATAAAAAGATAAATCAGTTTTTTGAACCATTATTCTTCCAACAGTTGATGGCATTCTGATTAACTACTTTGTTTGAGAGCTTTACTCTTTGTCCAAAAAGCAAAATAGTTGGTAACTTTCTATGTAAAAGCAATTTGCATTTTCTGCTGTCAGCAAAAAGTTTTGTTGTGAAAAATTTGGTATAGCTGGAATTCAAGAAGTAACCTGTATCATAATTAGAGTGATTCAATGCTGTACTATAAACAGCATTAAATCTAGACAATATGAACAAATATAACTCCATATAGCTTATTTAATAAACCAAAGAAATTTACATCATCAATGGGCAGACAAAAGACCGTACACAACATCCTTATTTTTAAAAAGTAGTAAATTCTGTTGCATAATATTCCTTTTCATTGTCAGCAGTGGTCAAGTAGTGACTGTAATTCAATGTCCTTGGGAGGAAATAAGTACAAAGTAATTGCTGTAATACTAAAATAGCACTGAGTAGTTAAAAAAAGTTTAAGCAAGTCAAAACAATGGAAATAAACCTAAACAACAGTAAAGTGTAACTTGGAGCACATAATTTTCTTCTTACAGACAGCACTTGGTTCCTCTGGGAGAGCAGAATCATTGCAATCCCTCCTATTCCTTCCATCTATATTTTATCACTTTCCTTTTCCTTACTTAATTTACTCTCTAACCCTTATCTTTTACATGCATGTTAAACTAAAGTAGAAAAACAAGGGTGAAATAGAGTACGAAAGGGAAATAAGGGTAACAAGAAAAAAATAAAATACTGAGAAAGTGGAAAGTGAATGAATAAGGAAAGGTTCCTTGCCAATGTTCTGGCATCTTCTACAAGCACTGGCAAGTATTTTTACTGGAAACCAGACACTCAACTATACTCATCACTGTTTTATAAACAGACAGTCCCACACCACTAAATCAAAGTGCAATGGTAAAGGGAACTGAACTATTTAATAACATCATTAAGCTTGGAAATAGAATCAGAGAAGAGTATTATAGAATGATTGGGGTTTGAAGGGACCAGAAAGATCACCTTGTTCCAACCCCTTGCCATGGGTAAGGTACACCTTTCACTAGACCAGGTTTCTCAGAGCTCTGTACAGACTGGCCTGAAATGCTTTAAACAGATGGGGTAACCACAACTTCTCTGGGCAACCTGTTCCAGTGCCTCACCACCCTCACAGGAAATAATTTCTTTCTAACCTCTAATCTGAAGCCACTTTCTGTCAGTTTGAATCCATTCCCTTTTGTCCTGTCACTACATGCTCATGAAAAATCTTCTCCATCTTTCTTGTAAGCTTCCGTCAAGTACTGCAAGGCTGCAATTAGGTCACGCCAAAGCCGTCTCTTTTCCAGGTTGAACAATTGCAATTCTCTTGGCCTTTTGTCATTGGAGACGTGCTCCATCCCTCTAGTGATTTTGGTGTCCCTTCTTTGGATTGGCTCCAACAGCTCTGTGTCCTTCCTGTGCTGGGGACTCCAGATCTGCATGCAGCACTGCAGGTGGAGTCTCATCAGGATGGAGTAGAGGAGCAGAATCAACTCCCTTGACTGGCTGGTCATGCTCCTTTTGATGCAGCCCATGATACACTTGACCTTTTGGGCAGAATATGAGGAAGAACTTCTTTACTGCCTGGGTGACTGAGCACTGGAACAGACTCCCCAGAGAGGCTGTGGAGTCTCCTTCACTTGATATACTCAAGAACCATCTGGACACTATTCTCTGCCCATGTGTTCTGGGATGACCCTGCTTGAGCAAGGAGGTTGGACCAGATGACTCACTGTGGTCCCTTCCAATCTCGCCTATTCTCTGGTTCTATGACTCATGACTGGAAGGTCCCTTCCATTTGAAGCTATTCTATGATTCTTTTGATTCAAAGATTCTATAAAGCATGTTTCTCTGTAATGAGAAGCCTTGGAAAGCCTTGTGGAATTGGTATTTGTCTCCTTTTTCAGGATATTAACACTTTGTTTGCAACCTAACAATGAGTAAGCATCCATTAAACAACTAAGAAAAACAAGTATATTTTACGGCAATATAACTGATGAAATAGACCAGATAGTCAATATATTACACCGTAATAATTAGTCAATAGATTACACCATATATAAGCAGAGCTGCACTGAAAAAGGATGCATCTCCACACAAGTCTGTAAAGTGAATTTCATGTTACTGTAATACCACTTCTTTTCAAATATTTGAATTGAATGCTGGAATCAAAAATGTTGATGGCATATTAAGAATATATGAGAAACAATGGCATAAGATTTTTAAGTATCAAAGCGGTATCAGAAACTATTTAACATTTTGTGTAATCAATTGGTTATGGGGTGCTCCAGCAGAGATTTAGGCAACTAGATCTCTTTTCTTTAATGCTTCCATTATCAGGAAACTAAATTCCCTAAAAAAATTATAATCCTTTACATATTACAAGCATAACTTAAAGAAAAACAGAGACATGGATTTTTTTTTTTTCTTTCTTTGTTTTACCCCTGCTTAGTCTCACTGTTTTGTAAAATTTTGTATTTCTAAAGCACTCTTTACTTAACTGTTCAACATGTCTGTGAAAGACCCATGAGGAAGATTCTAAATGTGAACTTAGAGTTCTGACATGATTTTTCAAAGGACTGAGAATAACCTTATGTACTACTGCACAGATGTAATAAATGTCATTGATATGATGGGCTTTCCCTCAGTATACTGAACACAGGAAGTGTAAGTAAATGTAAATTGCTCTTACATGTAAGAATTCCAATAAAAGAAAAGCATGGTAATGGCTTTTTGAACATTGTGGTATTGTAGAGGGTACCCTCATTAGATTCACAAGAAATAATATTCCTTTCTGCTTCATCAAATGTGAACACACATAAATAATTCCATTTTCTTACATTGCCTTTGTTATTAACATACTAAGACCAACAAGTAAAAATTATACTGTAATCAAGGTTTCAGATTTTCACAAACCTGATTGAATACTTTTGCACAAGATTGTCTGTACACCTGGAAAGGGTTGAAGACAGGCTGCTCTTCGCTGCCCTTCAGTGTCAAAGGTGGGCATTGACTCAAGGTAACACCATCTTCAGAAGAATTCTCACAGGACAGCTGCTCTTTCAAATACTCCTTTTAGAAGAAAAAGCAACCACAGAATAGTACAGGCCATCTAGCTTTCTAAGTGAAATTTGCCTACACTTCAAGCATAAGTTTACAGAACTCTTGATGAAAGTTCCTTTTAATATAGTGGGGTATTAACAATCTCTTAAAAAACAGAAATCTTTTAAAGAATACCACCGTTTTACAATGAACAAGAAAGAACCTCGAAAAGCATGCACCCAACTTAAGCAAAATAGAATAATCTAACCTATTGTTTTGAAATAGTTGTAAAATTATTTGTATAAGTTCTCATTTTATATATATATATATATATATATATATATGCTAGATATATGTAGAAGTGAACAACAAATGTTTTTCATATATTTTGAATTAAACTTTTTAGAAAACACTCAACTATTACTGTATAACTCAATTCTTTGATTAACATGTTCTAGCCATGTTATTTAAACACAGGAAATAAATATTTTCCCACTCTTCAAAGCTATTTTTAGCTGCTTAAGCATTCAAGCACTAGAAGCAGTATGATTTAAATTGCAATTTTAGAAACTATACTATAACATATGCATGATTATTTTGGACACAATCTTTTCTGTTTTCACTTCTTGGACTACTATGCAAATAAATCATCATTGCAGGGCAGTAAAGTGTTTTGATTAAATAGAACCATTTTATGAAGAACTATGTAATGAAACATTTACACATCTATTTGCTGGAAGGACTACTGTGATTAAACAGTTTGTTGTTATTAAAATGAAGTCCATAACATGGAGCAAGTAGAGGTGAGTCATTAGGATGGGTGGATGCAAATGCTCCTCTTATTCAAAGTCCTACTGAGATGGAATAACATGCAAACAACCTACCAAGGCATCATGTGCTTCTCAGTAGGTCTTTCTAAAAGAAGACTTTCATCATCTGTTTAAACTTGAATACCTATGGCCTAACCTGAAAGACACAAGCTCACTTTCAGGCCACACAGACGGTAGCTGTTTCTCCCTTGTGTTGGTACTAGCCACTATGTGTTGTGAGATCAGCCAGGAAAAAAAAAGTTTCATCCAGATAAACTAGCCATATGGATTCTAGTACTAGTAAAAAGGGGGGACCTAGGAGTGGAAAAGAATAAGGGCAAGAGAAAGAGAAGGACTGTCTCTCTGCTGGTTGCAGTCAAATGTTACGTCTTAGTCTCACAGAATAGTCTTAGTGTATGGAAAAAGACCTCAACTAACCAAAAGAAGAAAAACAAATTAAGCTTCTATTGCTTAAAACAACATTCCACAAAGCAACTGTGGAAAACATATCCTGTTTTGGCTATTTTTACTCAGCTTTTCAAAAATATCTGGATATTCATTCATTCATTCATTCATTCATTCATTCATTCATTCATTCATTCATTCATTCATTCCTTTATACCATAACAAAGTTTTCAAAGCCACAGTGAAGGAGGTTATATAAAAGCTATTTCTGTGCATCTACCAGATTTTCATATACTGCCTTCCATGTATACATTTAAAAAAAAACTGTAGACTATAGCAACCCAGTCCTCTGGATGTAACAGAACCAGCAGAAGAAGATTGTGTTGCTTTTTCAGAAGCAGTACTGGAAATAGCTGTCCATGTGTTGCCAGATGAATAACTATTTGCCCAGCTGGTGAGAAAATACAATGCTTGTTTTTCAAAACCAGTAGTCTAGAGAAAGGTGCAATATGTATTCTGTAGGATCATGTCAAACATTAACAAAATAATGAACCAGCCTGGGTATGTCATCTCAGCTCCCTTTTTGGAAAGCAACACCAGTTCACTGAACAGGTAACTTTGGGGTCTGGGACCACCGGAGACCACCAGAGGGACCCCTGGGACAGACGAATGCATGTGCAAAGCAGGGGGGAACATGTTACGGTCTCAAGGAAATTATTATTATATGTATGTTCATTCTGGGAAAACAAATTAATATGTATACAAAACAGAGTATATATAAAGCAGGAGCTTTTCTGGACTTGACATGCACAGTTTTGGTGGAGATACCCCTGTGGCATCTGGTGCTGAAATAAAGAATGCCTGCTTCTTAATGCTACAGTGGTAGTGCAAGGAGATTTTTGACCAATTTCGGTAACACCTGCTTGCTAGGGTTCAAAAAATTCAAGTGGTATACAGCTGACCTCAGTAAAAGTATTTTTCTGTCTTTAATAAAATACTGTGGGTTTGGTCTTGATGAAGAGACTTATCCAAGAATAGTAAATATATTACATTAAGATCTTCTTTAGTATATCAAATATTGTAGGCTCTGAAAGGGTCATGTTTCAAAAATGTGAAAATATTAAATCACATCTGTAAACATGTAAGCTATATCCTCAATGCACTGAGTGGGCATCAAACTAAGTATACAGAATATTATTGAGCCTGACACCTCAGAAGAATTATCTCTTTGGTTGTCATTACTAAAAATTATTGTTAGTTTTGGCAAACACATAAAGGGTTGTGTTATAGGTGGGTAATGTGATGGTTGGCTCTTGCAATAAAGAGATGAATATTATGTGTATGTTGAGAGAAGTTATATTGATGTGTAGTTAGGACATTGTAGTTTGTTGTTTAGACGGCCTTGGTAGTCGGGACCTGTGGCAGGAGGGCGAGTTCCTGTGCCCTTGCTTGGGCAGCCGGAGCGGGCAGGCTCCTTACTGAGAGGCGGCAACACCTGAGCTGCAGCCAGGGTGCAAGAAAGCAGCTGCAGCCATGGACAGCGAGGAAGAGCTGACTGATGGACTCTGTGAGGGGCCAGGGCTGCCTGATGCAACCCCAGGGGTGTAAAAGGTGGAGCAGTCATTTTGTAGAGAGCTCGTGGCTGCCGCGGTCACCAACTCCCAGCGTGCTGTCCTTTTTCCTTGTTCAGTTCTTTGTTCTATTTGTTAAGGTTTTTAATGAACCCTTGAAATTTTAAAAAGTGAGCATCGTTTCTCACAAATGGGGACTCGTCCGGGATTTAAAAATCTCGTCTCCATGGCCCTGGGAGATTTTGTAGGAGAGGTGCACTCCCGCCCCGTTTGGTGGCTTGAAAAACTTCTGGAACTATCGGAGATTGCAGGTTAACACCCTGGTGACAACAAAGATTGGATAATGAAAAAGAAAGGGGGAAGAAAGGAAGAAAGCCCTCTAAAAAAACTGCAGATGAGGATTGTGGCTATTTGCATGTGTGGGAGCCGAGAGCATGCTTGGGGTGTGAGTGAGGTGGTTACTGTGTAAATACAAAATTCTCATAATTACTTTGGCCATACAAAGAGCCCATATTCTGACTGTACTCACCCCAGCACCAGGGGTTGGTGACCGGGACCCGTACCTGATCCATCAGAGCTAAAAGGATATTGGATGGTTGGGCTGATACAGGGCAGGACGCGAAGTAAGAGGAAAGCGGGGAACTGCAAAAGGTGGGCTCCGCAAGTGAAAGGGGTAGGGAAGAAACTGCAGGCGGGACCCTGAGTAAGAGGGAGGCTGGAGAACCGTGGACAGCGGGATGTGTGTGAAAGAGGGGTAGAAAATATCGTGGGTGAGACGCAGAGTGAGAAGGAAGCGGGAGGACCGCAACGTGGCGGGACGCGAGTGAGAGAGGAGTTAAGATTTAAGAGGAATTAGATCAGCGGGCCGCTCTCTTCCGTGGCGCGGAGGAGCAGCGGGACCGCCACATGGGCGGAGGTGCCTGGAAGCGGCCGCAGGAACGGCGGACCGGGAGTTGTGTGGGGTTTTCCGAGCGGGGACCGCGGGGTCGCCGTGTGGGCGGCAGCGACTGAAAAGGCTGAGCGCTGTGAAGACCGGCACTGCTGACAGTCAGAGACCAGCCCAGTTGTGCACGGGTTTCCCAAACACCGAAGGGGCCACGTGTGCGGTCGAGCGCCGGGCACAGTAAAACCCCGGTGCCACAGGCGCGCCTGTACAGGCTGCCAGCGGCGATCCAGAAACGCCAAGCGCGGTAGCTCCCAGCAAGGCTGGCCCAGTAACAGGGTTTCCAAACGGGGGACCGCCGAGGTCCGCGTGGGCAGTGTTCGGCGGCTGCCGGCGTCCGTGGAGCGGAGAGTGCCGGGACGCGGAGCCGCGGCGATTCCCCGGGGCGCACGCCACCCCTCCGCCTGCTCGGTGCAAGTACAGCGCCTGGGGAGCAGCTCCCAGCCCGCCGCAGTGCCGGACGCCGAGGGGTAGCCGAGGCTCCCAGTGGGTAGACCGGGAGAAAAGCGGGGGAGCCGGCAGTGAGCACTGAAGCCGGGACAGCCGCCCCCCGCCCCGCTCGGGTGTAAGTGAAGCGCGCCGTGGTCAGCTCCCAGCCCGCCACGGTCCCGAACGGCGGTCGAGACGGAGAGGGAGGCGAGGTGCGGGCCTCAGCCCCGGACCACCCCCGCGCAGGCGGCTTTCTGCGAGTTTCCCGCTTCCGAGGGGAGCTGCTAGGGCAGAGCTCGTCCTTGCCGAGGCCGCGCAGTGATGGGCGGTGATACCGGAGAAGAGATAGCTCTGTTAGGGCTCGTTCGGCCTCGCTCGTCAGCCCCATTGTGGGGGGGACAGTGACTCAATCTCTCACTAGTTCTCCAGACCTTGTCTAGTTGTTTACGTTTGCTTTCTTAGAAGAAAGTAAGGTTTGTTTTGTTTTCTTTTTATTTTCTTTCTTTTTTCTCTCTTTTTCTTCTCTGTGTTGGGAGGGGGGCTTTTGTTACGAAAGGCTGTTAGAAAGATGGGTGGGTCTAAGAGCCAGTAAAAAATCCCCAAGGGGAGGAAGAAATTTAAAGATACCCCTAAACAATCCCTTAGAGAGAAGACTAACCCGGTGGAGATGTGACCCCAACACCAAAAGTGAAAATAAGGTTATCCAGTATAGAGGTCTAGTATAGAGTTGTATCATAGAGAGGACTGAGAGGCAGACTGGGTCCAACTAGGTGTACCGGCCGTGATGTGAGTCAAAAGAAGACTGGATGTGTCAAGTTTTAAACATCCAAATAAAAATTCAAAAACAACCCCAGTACAGATCAGGTAGAGGGA